AGGGAGCCCAACCCAGGGCTCCACCCCAGGACCCTGAGATCATGATCTGAGCCAAAGTCAGATGCCTAATCAACAGAGCCACCCAGGTACACCAATCATGGTTATTTATTTTTTAGATTAAAAAAATTATTTATTCATGACAGGCACACACATAGAGAGGCAGAGACACAGGCAGAGGGAGAAGCAGGCTCCATGCAGGGAGCCCGATGTGGGACTGGATCCCGGGACTCCAGGATCACGCCCTGGGCCGAAGGCAGGCGCTAAACCACTGAGCCAGCCAGGGATCCCCTCATGATTATTCATTTAAAAGAATCCTGTCAGAGAAAGACAAATACCATATGATTTCACTCATATGTGGAAATTTTTTTTAAGATTTATTTATTTATTTATTTATTGAACTTTAATTTTTCTAAAATTTTTATTTACTTATGACAGTCACAGAGAGAGAGAGAGAGAGAGAGAGAGAGAGAGAGAGAGAGAGAGAGGCAGAGACATAGGCAGAGGGAGAAGCAGGCTCGATGCACCGGGAGCCCGATGTGGGATTTGACCCGGGTCTCCAGGATCGTGCCCTGGGCCAAAGACAGGCGCCAAACCGCTGCGCCACCCAGGGATCCCAAGATTTATTTATTTATGATAGACATATTATACAGAGAGAGAGAGGGAGGCAGTGACACAGGCAGAGGAATAAGCAGGCTCCGTGCTGGGAGCCCGACGCAGGACTCGATCCCGGGACTCCAGGATCACGCCCTGGGCTGAAGGCAGGTGCTAAACTGCTGAGCCACCCAGGGAATCCCCCTCATATGTGGAATTTAAGAAACAAAACAGATGAATATAGGGGAAGGGAAGGAAAAAATGAAATAAGATGAAAACAGGGAGGCGAACCATAAGAGACTCCTAACTATAGGAAACAAACAGGTTTGCTGGAGAGGAAGTGGGTGGGTGGAAGGGATAATTGGGTGATGGGCATTAAGGAGGGCACTTGATGTAATGGGCATTATACACAACTGATGAATCACTAAATTCTACCCCTGAAACTAATAATACAGTATATGTTAACTAAATTGAATTTAAATTAAAAAAAATTTTAGACCCTCTAAAAAAATCTAGAGGACAAATTTAAGTCAACGAAACCATGGATAGTAAAATTATGGAGAAAAGCTTTTATAGTGAGGAATGAATTTAAATAAATGTCTAAGTCTTTTTTTAAAATTTGTGTTGTTTTATTTTATTTTTTTAAAGATTTATTTATTTATTCATTCAGAGAGAGCGAAGAGAGAGGCAGAGACACAGGCAGAGGGAGAAGCAGGCTCCATGCAGGAAGCCCGATGTGGGACTCGATCCCGGGTCTCCAGGATCACACCCCGAGCTGTAGGAGGCACTAAACCGCTGTGCCACCGGGGCTGCCCTAAATGCCTAAGTCTTAAAGAAATCTGAGAACTATGGTTATAAACAGAAGGTATCATTTATATCCTTGGGCATTATAGACATGATATAATGGAGTTTTACAAGGGACTTTTACTTCTGAATAGGATGTAGTAGGAAGACAACGTTCCTGCTCCAACAACCTAAAAAATGCAGGAGTTAAAAATATCATAGGTTAAAATATATTAGAGAGCTGTGAAGTGAAGACTTGTTTATTGAATAAACGAAATTCCAGAGAGGGGAAAGCCCTTCTAAAGTGGATTAATAATCACTAGTTGGTTGTTTTTTTTTTCTGGAAACATCATTTGCTAATTTTAGGTCCAGGCAGGCTGGGAATCTGTCTTAACCTAGTTGGAGGGAGTCTATGCGGGCAAAGAAAACCCAGAGGAACTTTTTTTTTTTTTTTTTTAATGATAGTCACACAGAGAGAGAGAGAGAGAGAGAGAGAGAGAGAGAGAGAGAGAGGCAGAGACAGAAGCACCGGGAGCCTGACATGGGATTCGATCCCAGGTCTCCAGGATTGCACCCCGGGCCAAAGGCAGGCGCTAAACTGCTGCGCCACCTAGGGATCCCCGCCCAGAGGAACTTTTAATCAGCTACTGGGCCTGACTGGAAAGCAGATGATCTCCAGTGCATGGCTGGTTTTCCATGTGGGTCATTTTCTGAGTTTGAGACCTGCTTGGAAGCTATGGAACTGAGCCAAAACTTTATTTTTATTTATTTATTTTTTTAGAGAGCGGGAGCATGAGTCTGGAGAGAGGTAGCAGGGGAGGAGAGGGAGAGAATCCCAAGCTGACTCCATGCTGAGGGTGGAGCCCAACACAGAGCCTGATCCCACCAGCCCGAGATCATGACTAAAGCTGAAACCAAGAATCGGATGCCCACCGACTGGGCTACCCAGGTGCTCCTGGGCCACAATTTTAAAAAAGTCATGGTGCTTAGGAAATTATACCCCATTAGAGGGACATGGCCCTCAATCGCATGGCTAATCTCTACCTCAAGACATTTCTCATCTCTTGGGGCGCCTGGGTGGCTCCATTAGCTAAGCTCTGCCTTCAGCTCAGGTCATGAACTCAGGGTCCTGGGATAGAGCCCCTCATCAGGCTCTCCGCTCAGCAGCGAGTTGGCTTCTCCCTCTCTCAAATAAAACAAACCTTTTTTTTTTTAATAAATTAAATTTTATTGGTGTTCAGTTTACCAACATACAGAATAACACCCAGTGCTCATCCCGTCAAGTGTCCCCCTCAGTGCCCGTCACCCATTCACCCCCACCCCCCGCCCTCCTCCCCTTCCACCACCCCTAGTTCGTTTCCCCGAGTTAGAAGTCTTTATGTTCTGTGTCCCTTTCTGATAAAAACAAACCTTTAAAAACCATAAAGACATTTATCTTTTTCACAAGATTTATTGAGAGAGAGGGTGAGCGAGCACGCACGCATGCAAGGGGCGGGGGGTGGTCTTAAGCAGGCTCCAGTCCAGCAGGGAGCTTCATTCCCGAACCCTGAGATCCTGACTTGAGCCGAAATCAAGAGTCGGTTGCTTGACTGACTGAGCCACCCAGGTGGCCCCACAGGACTCCTGTTTTGAAGCAGAATTAGTTAAGCTTAAGAGAGGCCCAAAGCCCCAGAGGAACGAACTGGAAGCACTGTAGTCTTTCAGGGCTCAGGAGGCAGATTCTTTTTTTTTTTTTTTTTTTTTTTTTTTTTTTTTTTAGGAGGCAGATTCTTAAACCAAAAGCTTGGGCTGTCCCTGAGGGAAGAACAAGAAGAACGAGTCTAAGAGGACAAGCTTGCGGGATCCCTGGGTGGCGCAGCGGTTTAGGGCCTGCCTTTGGCCCAGGGCGCGATCCTGGAGACCCAGGATCAAATCCCATGTCGGGCTCCCGGTGCATGGAGCCTGCTTGTGTCTCTGCCTCTCTCTCTCTGTGTGACTATCATAAATTAAAAAAAAAAAAAAAAAAAAAGCAAGCTTGCCAAGACTGAGGTCAATCCCTGCTTGGCCTGTGGTGATCAGCCCTGCGACAGCCTAACAGAGGAGGGGGAATCCCCACAGGCCAAGGATAATGTTGCAGTTCTTTCATTCACAGGGTCCCGCTCCTAGGAAAACCTTACCGAACAGGTGAAGTGGCAGGAAAATGTGGCAGATAATCAAGAGAGAATAGTGAACGACTGACCCAGACCAACAGATGACCACATGTCCTAGCAAACAAGGACCAAGTGGGGAGGGCTGGGAAAAGGTGTGATGAAACAAAAGAAAAAAACAAGATTGATTAACAAAATGAACAGATGGAGACTTTCAACAGGTAACTGGAATCTAAAATTTATTTAAGGGGATCCCTGGTGGCTCTGCGGTTTAGCACCTGCCTTCGGCACAGGGCACAGGGCGTGACCCCGGGTCCTGGGATCGAGTCCCGCGTCGGACTCCCGGCAGGGAGCCTGCTTCTCCCTCGGCCTGTGCCTCTGCCTCTCTCTGTGTCTCTCATGAATAAATAAAATCTTTAAAAAAAATAAAATGTATTTAAAAATAAAAAACCTGAACATACAGAGTTAAAAATTACGAACTCCGTGTATAGATCTGACAGATGGCGGAGGACCACAGAAGCGAGAAATCAGGACGTTCAGAGACAGGGCAAGAGAAAACCTTCGAACTGAATGAAGCATCCAGTGAATAAGAGACAAAGACGGTACAAAATATCAAAACACACGATGAACAAGGTCAAGGGGTGTCACACGTGTGGCTGGAGTCCCGGAGGAAAGGGGCGAGAGAATGAAGCCGAAAGTACAGTCGACGCGGGCGGCCCGGGGCCTCAGCGGTTAGCGCCGCCTGTGGCCCAGGGCGTGACCCCGGGTCCCGGGATCGAGTCCCACGTCGGGCTCCCTGCGTGGAGCCTGCTTCTCCGCCCCTCTATGTGTCTCTCATGAATCGGTAAAATATATTTTAAAAAGTCTACGTGACGAGACCAGGGCCCGGGCCGCCCCCCGGGGCGCGAGGTGCAAGGTGCAAGCGCCGCCGCACTCACGGCCCGGCCGTCCCCACCGGATGCGTCCTCTTCCGGGAGGCGCCGCTTCCGTCCAGCCGCGGTCCCACAGCGCCGCGCTCCGCCCGCCCACGGACCGAGGCCTCGCGACACAAGCGGCGCCTCACCGCCGCGCTCAGAGACGCCGCGCAAGGGGCGGCCGCTTCCGCACGCCAGGCTGAGGCCGCCTTCCCGCCTCAGGAGGCGAGTTCTCGGGCCGCCGGGAAGAGCGGGCTGCGCCCTCGGGGGAAGCGCCTCGGGGCGACGCCGGCCTTCCGGGGTTAAGACTGAGAGGGCGGCGGCCCGGCCCAGACGCGTCCTGTCAGCCTCCGCTAGGCCGAGGGCTCGGCTCCCACCGCCTCCACGCTCCGGGCGGCGGCGGGGGCGGGGGCGGAAGCGGGCGGAGGGGGCGGAGCCACGCCCCTGCGCCGGCGCAGGCTCGCTCTTCCGCTCTTCGGCTGGGGCTGGGCTGAGGCGGAAGGGCCCGGGGCGCGGTGACGCGATCAGTGGGCGCCGGCGTCGCGGCCCCGCGGAGGCTCGCTGGCCGTGGCCGCTGGGAGCAGGCCGGGCTCCTCCTCGCTGACGGGGCTCCCCAGAACTGGCGGAGGCGGGGCCGCGGGCTGAGCTGCCGCAGTGTCTGGACCCGCGGTGCGGCAGGTGCCGGCAGCCGGGGACCCAGGTGAGCAGGGGTCCGGGTGTCGGGTCGGGACCCGGCGGGCTGGCCATTCCCGCGCCCTTCGCGCCAGCTCAGCAGCCGGGCCTGGAGGCCTCGAGCGCTGCCCCCCCCCCCCCGCGCCCGAGCCCGCGGCGCTCTCCCGGGGGCGGGCGGGGCGCTCGGCCCGGGGGCCCGCCGTCCTCCCGCTCCCTCTGCGGCCTGAGCTGGCCGTCCTTCCGGAGGCTGCGGAGGTGCGCCCGCCGCTCTGGAAGCCGGGGCTGGGCCGCTCGGAACGTGGCGCTTCCTTCCTGCCCTCGGCCCCTTGGGCCCCGCTCCTGGGGCCTGTCGCGGCGCACTGCTGCGGCGCCCGTAACGGGGGCTCGTCTCCTAGCAGGCCGTCTCTACCTGCGTCTCGCCGAGGCCGCGCCAGCCGGTTCCGCCGGACCGCCGCGCGGGGGGAGGCCTCGGACGGGAGGGGCGATGCGGTTCCGCGCCGGAGGCTCCGGAGCGGAGCTGAGATCCTAGCCGCCCGCCCGCAGCGGCTTTCCTCGCGAGCGAGAGCCGTCCACCTTTTTAGCCGCTCGTAAAGCGGGGCTTTTTCGTGCCCGTATCAGTTGGGAGAACGAAGGGGAGTGAAGAAAGCAGAACGTCCGCCACTAAAGGTTTTGGATTTAAGAGCATCCTGGACACCTGATGGTAGGTCCCTAATTACGTCTTTGAGAATAACCAAGCTCGGCAAGGAGGAGTGTGGTTGGAGCCTAACTGCAGGGCCCGCTTTGGGTTGCGCGGCGTTAGGGAGAGGTCAGGGTCTGCTAGCCGCCCCACCTGTCTCATGTTGATTGATAAAACATTATTGGTATCTGAGCAATAGCCTGAATCAGTTTTGCTTCTTCCTCGAGATCATTTTGCCCAGTGGGCCACATCTAGAAAGAAAAATAAATAAATAAAGCTGGAGGGGCCTCATTTGCCCCTTGGCCCACTTTAGAAGGGCTTCTTTGCGCGCGCGCGCACGCGCACACACACACACACATATATATATTTTAAAGATTTTATTTATTCGTGATAGACACACAAAGAGAGGCAGAGACACAGGCAGAGGGAGAAGCAGGCTCCATGCAGGGAGCCCGATGCGGGACTCGATCCCAGGACCCCGGGATCAGGCCCTGGGCCTGAGGCAGGCGCCAAACCGTTGAGCCACACCCAGGGATGCCCTGCACATATTTATAGAACCCCTGCCCTCTGCTTCTAACGGTGTTCAATTAACACTTCATGTTCGTTGAAAGTACGCAGAGAATAAATACAAGAGCTTGACTCCGAGTGGCTGGACATCACTGTTCTGAGTTAACCTGTGGAGCTGCCTTTCTCTACATTGGAGAGAGTAAACCATACCCCGCTCTGAAGTTTAATAGACCCTAGTTAGTGGGGTGTTGGGGGAGTTGGGGGGGTTATGCAGTCAAGTGATCTGAGTAGCACCTGTTCTCACAAATGCTTGGTCAGCCAAACCAAGGATGCTTCCTTTCCTCAGTGGAACATGATGATGATGGCTGTTTCGCATCCTAGCCAAGTACAATCTCCAGTTCCTTTGATACAGAATTATCAATTGGGAGTTTTAACTCATGGATACTAAAGGGACCTCGAGGGCCTTCTAATCTAGTGGTTCCAAAACCTGGCGGGGCATCGGAATCATTTGGGGGGGGGGGAATTAATACAGAACTCTAGGTGCCTAGGCACTGCCTCGGTAGATCTGAAGTAGGACCTGGGTGTTTGTGTGTGTGTGTGTGTGTTTTTTTTTTTTTAAATAGCTTCTCGGGTTATACTCATGTTTTGGAGACCCAGATGTACAGCAGGTTTCACATATTTATGAACAGGCTCCAAGATGAAGTGTAATGCCCTTAACGAGTAACTTTACTTGAATCAGTAAGTAATAAATACTCTTTCAGGTTTTGTACCGCCTTGAGCCCAGAAGGTAAATCCGGTAAGTCAGTAGCTCAATATAATTTTGTTCTTGTGGCTTCCTATGCATTAAAATTTCTTAAAGCTTTTTGATGAAAGTATTAGATTTTACAGTAAAATTTCCTACCAAATGTTGCTCTGGATGTTTTTTGGCATAATTATATAAAAGTTATATCACTTTGTAAATCAGCTTTTTAGTAGGCTTTTATGCCATGCTTTCATAAGCCATGGAAAAATTCCAATTTAAGAAAAATTTGCTATTGTTTTGGCTTATCAGAAACCCAGTGCACTCTACACAGGCTGCTTTTTTCTTTCTCCCTTTCTTTCCTTTTTTTTTTTTTTTTAACACTTTCTTCCATCTTGGTATGCATGATCACTTTGTATTACTAGACAGCTTCCAGTGGAATGCAGTTTGAGATCTGGGCTCTGTGAAGGTCTCTAACTGCCTGTAAACACTTAATGTAATTGGAGGCTTTCAGTATTTAAGCTAGTCCTTGAATTTTTAGTCTCTTTTTCTTTTCTTGGTTTAGTTATAATGTGCCACTGATTTAAAGAATTTGATAGAGTGGGCAGCCCGGGTGGCTCAGCGGTTTAGCACTGCCTTTGGCCCAGGGCAGAATCCTGGAGACCCGGGATCGAGTCCCACGTCGGGGTCCCTGTGTGGAGCCTGCTTCTCCCTCTGCCTGTGTCTCTGCCTCTCTCTCTCTCTCTCTGTCTCTAATAAATAAATAAAATCTTAAAAAAAAAAAAGAATTTGATAGAGTGACGCCTGGGTGGCTCAGCAGTTGAGAGTCTGCATTTGGCTCAGGTCATATCCTGGGGGCCTAGGATCGAGTCCCGCATCAGGCTTCCTTCATGGAGCCTGCTTCTCCCTCTGCCTGTGTCTCTGCCTCTCTGGGTCTTTCATGAATAAATCAATAAAATCTTAAAAAAAAAAAAAAGTATTTGATGGATGCTTGGAAAGGATCAACTGATTAGGTGGTAACAGTGTTTCATGTGTATTTTTCTTATAGTGGAAATGCCTCATGACTGGGTTTTGTTTTGTTTTTTTTTTGTAATATTTTCAGAATGACTAAGGTATTAGGCCATTCAGGCAGTGTTGGACATTCTCTTTTACAGAGATACACTTATTCTCAAATTCTTCTTCAGTAACCTCCTTACTGCTTTAGTATTCCTGTTTTGTGTTATTACTAGAGCCAGAAATGGACCCTACATCACAAATCCTCCAGAGGAGGATGCTGAATTATTTTCTAAAAGTGACCCTGTTTATAGCATGTTAACTATCTACAACCAGATGACAATGGGTATTCTAAACTTGCTGATTAAAAAAAAAAAAAAACGTGGGACCCCTGGGTGGCGCAGCGGTTTAGCGCCTGCCTTTGACCCAGGGCGCGATCCTGGAGAACCGGGATCGAATCCCACATCAGGCTCCTGGTGCATGGAGCCTGCTTCTCCCTCTGCCTGTGTCTCTGCCTCTCTCTCTCTGTGTGACTATCATAAAAAAATAAAAAATTAAAAAAAAAAAACGTGTTAACAGGGTGCCTGGCTGGCTTAATTGGTAGAGCATGTGACTCGTGATAATTGGGGTCATGAGTTTGAGCCCCACATTGAGTGCAGAAATTACTTAGATAAATAAATAAGACAAACCATGTTAACAAATAAGTAGTCCATAAATCTGAGTCTAGAGACCTATGGTATGTGTCTGAAATGAAAGGCCAGGTCATTGAGTCTCTAAACTTTTTTTTTTTTTAAGATTTTTTAAATTATTCATGAGAGACACAGGCAGAGACACAGGCAGAAGGAGAAGCAGGCTCCATGCAGGGAGCCTAATTGCGGGACTTGATCCCAGGACTCGGGGATCACGACCTGAGCCAAAGGCAGATGGTCCACCGCTGAGCCACCCAGGTACCCCAAGTCTCTAAACTTTTTATTTATTTTTGTTTCTGAAATACCTTAATTCTGAGGTTTTACAAACTGTTGTGTTTCAGATTCTGATAGAGCAATCTTTTCAAGAAGAGGTACTTAAAAAGGATAAATGTGGACCCAGGGTTCCAAATTCAATCTAAACTGATATTACAGATGTAACATAGAAAAAGAGGCAGGATGAGGGTAACAATTTGAAGACCCAGTGAAGGGCAGCCTGGGTGGCTCAGCGGTTTAGTGCCGCCTTCAGCCCAGGGCGTGATCCTGGAGACCCAGGATCGAATCCCACATCGGGCTCCCTGCACGGAGCCTGCTTCTCCCTCTGCCTGCGTCTCTGCCTCTCTCTCTCTATGTCTCTCATGAATAAATAAATAAAATCTTAAAAAAAAAAAAGACCCAGTGAAAGTCATTTGCTGGACCTTGAGGCAGTCTTCTATATCTCTGAGGACTTGAGACCAAAACTGGATACTTAATCTACTTTTTATCTGGTGGCTGTGACGAAAATATCACCAATAGGTACCATAAATGTGTAAGTCTCTAGTTTTCAATCTTTTTTTTTTTTTTTTTTAAGATTTATTTACTTATTTATTCAGAGAGAGAGAGAGAGAGGCAGAGACGCAGGCAGAGGGAGAAGCAGGCTCCGTGCAAGGAGCCCGACTTGGGACTCGATCCTGGGTCTCCAGGATCACACCCCGGGCTGCAGGCGGCACTAAACCGCTGCGCCACCGGGGCTGCCCTCTAGTTCTCAATCTTGATCTTTTTTATAGTTCATTCATATTCCCTGATGCCAGTGGGCATTATTTGTTTTTATTTTGTTTTTAATCTTGTTTTCTACTATAAGCAGTTCATTTTCTCATTTTTTCTGGGGTGAGTGACCCCACCCGTTTATTTGCTATAGAACAGCTATTACTGTCTTACTCTGCTAAAAAGAACTTTTTCAGAGTGCTGCTTGCGTTAATCTGTACAGTGTTTGCACTGCAGTTTTACCCAAATATTGGACCCCTTCAGGATTGTTCAGACTTAGGGCTGTCTTGGAATTAGTATCTCGTAAAAGTTGAAAGCTTGTTTTTGTTTTCCTTGTGTGTGTGTGTGTTTTTTTTTTAAGATTTTATTAGAGAGAGAGAGAGAGAGAGAGAGAGATTGATTGA